CTTTTCTGCACCTGTTGAAACGATCATACAGTTTTTATCCTTTCTCTTATTGATGTAATGTATCATGTTGATTGATTTGCGAGTATTGAACCACCCTTGATCCTGGGAATAAATCCCACGTGATCCTGGCAAATGACATCTTAAATGTGTTTTTGGACTCAGTTTGCTGGCATTTTGTTGATGATTTTTGCATCCATATTCATCAGAGTTATTGGCCTGTAGTTCTTTCTGGGGGGAGGGTAGTGTCTTTATCTGGCTTTGGTATCATTCCCCTTTCTCTTCTCTTTTTTGGAATGATTTGAGAAGAGTAGGTATTTGGTAGGATTCACCTGGGAAGCTATCTGGTCCTGGGCTTTTGTCTGGTGGGAGTTTTTTTGTTGTTGTTGTTTGTTTGTTTTGTTTTGTTTTTATCACCAATTCGGTCTCCTTGCTGGTAATTAGTCTGTTCAAATTTTCTGTTTCTTCCAGCTTCAGTTTTGGTAGGTTATATGTTGCTAGGAATTTATCCTTTTCTCCTAGGTTGTCCAATTTGTTGGCATGTGGTTTTTCTTAATATTCTCCTACAACCGTATTTCTGTGGCATTGGCTATTTCCCCTTGTTCTTTGGTGATTTTGCTTGAGTCCTTTTTTTTTCCTTGATGATTCTGGCTAAAGGTTTATCAATTTTGTTGATCTTTTCAAAGAAAGAGTTCCTGGTCTCATTGCTCTGTTGTTTTTAGTTTCTATGTAATTTATTTCTGTTCTAAATTTTTTTTAAGTTTATTTATTTTGAGAGAGAGAGGGAGAGAGCCGGGGAGGGGCAGAAAGAGAGGGAGAGAGAGAATCCCAGGCAGGCTCTGCGTTGCCAGTGTGTAAATGTGCTCATGAACGCATCTTGAAATTTCGAGGAATCGGCATAGGGTTAAGAATTAGGGCTAATTTTGAATTTTTTTTTAATGTTTATTTTTGAGACAGAGAGAGACAGAGAGTGAGTGTGGGAGGGGCAGAGAGAGAGGGAGGCACAGAATCTGAAACAGGCTCCGGGCTCTGTGCTGACGAATCTGAAACAGGCTCCAGGCTCTGAGCTGTCAGCACAGAGCCCGATGCGGGGCTCGAACCCACGAACCGTGAGATCATGACCTGAGCCGAAGTCGGACGCTTAACCGACTAAGCCACCCAGGCGCCCCATGAATTAGGGCTAATGTTGAAAGAATATGGCCAGCTGGTTGAGTGAAAATGAAGTGAAACTCGGTGGCATATTAAAAAGAGCATAAGTGATGTTAGGAAGGCAAAAAGAGCACGTGTTGGTGTAAATATCCAATATGATCAAGCTAATGAGTGTTCATGCTGCCTGAAAATTCATCTCAAGATTGTTAAATAAGGGATTATGGCTTGCTCAAATAGAGGTGAAATGTTCTCTGTAAATACTTATAAATTCCTTAGTTTTACATATTAGTAATTGTCCCTTAAGATGTGTTTATTTCTTTCTTTCTTTTTTTAGAGAACAGATTTTTTTTTTAATGTTCATCTGTTCTGAGAGAGAGAGGGAGAGGGCGAGCATAGGGGAGGGGCAGAGAGGGAAAGAATCCCAAGCAGGCTCTGCACTGACATGTGGGGCTCAGTCTCAAGAACCGTGAGATCGTGACCTGAGCCGAAAGGGAGTCGGGTATTAAGATGTGTTTCTTTAACTCTTGAATTATTTTTTCAGGGGTTGTGTATTCACGATGGCACCTGGAAGTCAGCAGTTTACGGTTTTGGAGATCAGAGTAATTTGAAAAAACTACGAAATGAAGCAAATCTGAAACCCGTCCCAATTATTGGTCCGAAATTGAAAAGAAGGTATATTAACTCAAAATCTGTTCTTTAGTACATCTGGTCTCAGTATATTGTCATTGATCTGATTATTAATAAAGTATGCTACTAGAAAATCCTGAGACTGTTCTATAGCAAGTTCAGGGTTGTCTTCATAGCTATATAAAATATAATTAATGCATTATTCTAAGCTTAAGTACTTTGATATTAATATATTTGGACTCGGGGAAAATTTTTTTGAATTTTGTGACTTTTCCATATCAAAATCAAACATCAGCTAAATTTTATGCAGTAAAACCTCCATTTTAAAGGGTGATGATCTTGTGTAGATTATCTGTTAATAGCACTCTTCTGTGAAAACTTTGTATGTGAGAACTCTAAACTCGCCGTAGAGTTTGGCTGTTGAAATGAGTGTCGTCTAGGGAAACCGGTGGGCTAAAACGTAGCTACACTGTGTTCCGCGCCCTCGGAATGCTGTCCCACCTGTCACTTGTTTGGTATAGTGGGGAACACGGACATTTTAATGAAGGGCAGGTCTGCCTTTAATGAAGGGCAGGTCTGCTTCAAGAAAAGTTGAATGTTTGGCTCACAAAGTCACCAAGTTAGCCGTAAGTGGAGAAAACGCACCGCGGTCACGGGTCTGCCTTGCAGGTGGCCACTTTCCTACTGCAGAGAACTCAGCAGCTACTCGGTCCCTTTCCTGGGAGCGGATGTGTCTGTTGTGAGGCGGACCCAGCGCTACCTGCACGAGACCTTGGAGCAGTCTCCCGTAAGTGTGCCCGATTTAACTCCTAACAAAGAGCACTGCGTTCGTTCCAGCCCCCCTGCTGTTTAATGTAGGAGCTTTAGGTGTGTAAAGCAAAACAGGAAGGCCAGCCAAGGCGCGCCTCAGTTTCTGGAAGTGCACGGAATGGGGCGCGGAGAGCACTTCGCATTGTGGGCGTGGAGGTAGCCTCCCCACAGTTCAGACCTGGCCCGCCGAGTACCTTGTCAGTGCAACAGAACAGCAGCAGATTTCGTCCAGAAACGCTGGGGTCACGAACCCCCACCAACCCTGTCTAGAGTCTTAGCTGCTGGGAGGGAGTCTCCCCTGCCTGTGGACTCTTCTGGCCTCGCCGTCTGGGCTCTTCTGGCCTCGCCGCCCCCCCCCCCCCCCCCCCCCCCCCCAGGGTATCGTCTTACTCCTTTTGGTGAGGGAGCTGCTCCCACTTTTGAGACTTGAAGGAGACAGTGAATCTCGAGTTAAAGGATTATTTTCTCGTGGGAGGGGTTGTAAGTAGCGTTCACATATACATCCTATAATGTGTCATCACTGAAAGTAGCTACGTTCTTGTGGACTTTTGCGTTCAGGCAGAGGAAGCTACAATTTCTTTAAAAAATATGCTCCCTGGGGCACCTGGGTGGCTCAGTCGGTTAAGCACCTGACTTCAGCTCAGGTCATGATCTCACCACTCATGAGTTCAAGCCCCACGTCGGGCTCTGTGCTGAAAGCTCAGAGCCTGGAGCCTGCTTTCAGTTCTGTGTCTCCCTCTCTCTCTGCCCCTCTCGCACTCCTGCTCTGTCTCTTTCTCTCAAAAAAAAATAAATAAATGTTAAAAAATTAAAAAAAAAAAAAATATGCTCCCAATGTCTGCTTTCTGAACAAGCTTTTAGAATGTAACACGTTCATAAAATGGAGAGTGCTTTTGCTCAGCATTTTTGAGGACAGAGTAAGTTACAAGTAGCCGACACGTTTGTGTTACCCCGACGTAGGGGTGACATTCTGACTTTGTCCCTCTTGTAGGTTCAGTACGCGGCTTATATAAACATGGGAGGCATCACCTCTGTTATTAAGCTGATGTTTGCGGGACTTTTCTTTTTATTCTTTGTGAGGTTTGGCATTGGAAGGCAACTTCTCATAAAGGTAAGTAATATTTTAACGAAATTAGGTCTTTACTAGTATTTTCCGTGAGTTTTAAAAAAATGTCACTGAGCGTTTTTTTTGTTTGTTTGTTTTTTCCCTTAGTTCCCATGGCTCTTCTCCTTTGGTTATTTTTCAAAACAAGGCCCAACACAAAAACAGGTAACCCTTTCTTTTGTATACAGGTCTTTAAAATAATAATTTTCCTTAATTTGTTTTTACTTTTCCTCAGTGCATTTACAATAACAGATAAGACTTGATGGGGCACTTACCATGTTGACAAGTGCTTTTATGTAGCTTTCATAAGTTAGATCACTTAGTCTTTTCAGACACCCCTTAAGGTAGGTATTATCTCCACTTTACAAATGAGGAAACTGAGGCACAGAGGCCAAGAACCTTGGCCAAGCTCCTACAGTGAGTACATAGCCAAACTGGGGTGAGGCCTCATAGTGATCTCAAAAATGTTTAGTCGTCCGTGTTTCTCCTCCCCCCAGGCTGCACTTCCCCTCTTCCACGACACTACCCTCCCCCTTCCCGCTCCTCCCCCTTTCC